CAAGGTATGGTATATAGCTGGAACCGAATATCACATCGGGACCCCGAAGAAGGATTCCGACGAATGGACCTCGGAATGGTTTTACATCAAAGACACCCCCCTATTCGAGCCGGTTCGGATGTGGCTGCCTGAATACTCCATTGCTCCCTTAAAGAAGCGGTTCAACTGGCGGCCCAAGAGCCCGTCCCAAAAAGAAAGCGCCGAAGTGCAACTCCTGGCCGCGTCCGGCTGCTAACCCACAACAAGTTGACCATGTTTGACGTGATGGCTGCCGTCATAGCTCGGTGCATACAACCTCTTCAACAAAGAATGCACCCTTTGTGGTGCTATAACGAGACAAGTGACGCCACCCGCTACAAGAGACAAGGGACGGATAATCAGGCCGCCATGGCCACAATACTAGCCGATCTCTTCAAAGGAGAATAAGAAGAGTTTGCTCGTGTAAGGAACAGGGACGACTAGGGAAGTTACAACCCTCCAAAATGTTAAGTTTGATCTTATCGCACAGTCTGGACGACTCATCCGTATACTTACCAAATCCACTATTTTTTCGAACAGAACTGGTGGCGCCAAGTAGTGTCCATTACCTGCCCCTCTCCTCACAACCAGAGAGCCATTATCGTGACAATGACCCGGGATTTCATGATGATCCTAAGACGTCAACCAATTTCAAGGACGGGTTTTTTTTCCAGGAGAGCCTTGATGGTACCAAGGTGGCCCTCCTCGCCGATCATCCTGGGGACCTCCCTTCTTCCGCTATAAACACTACTAGGAAAACGGCTATAGCAAATATGAACATTAATGGTGCACCATGTATGTGGTGCGCCAGATACACGTACGCCATTATTGGCCACATTACTAATGGAGCACTTGGTGTGTGGTGCGCTATTACCAGTTTTGAAAAAAAAAAAGATAAAAAAATTGTTAGCAGTGGCGCACCAGGGGATAGTGCGCCATTACTAACTATCCACTGGTGCGCCACTACTAACATGTTTTTAACTTTATATATATATATATATATATATATATATATATATATATATATATATATATTAAAACTAGTAATGGTGCACCACACACCAGGTGTGCCATTAGTAACCCTGGTTACTAATGGCGCATTCTTAGGTGGTGCGCCATTGGTAACCTGGGAGCAGCTAGATATTTTGGACAACCACCTACCACACTCACTTTCCCCACTTCATTCTCTCCACCTCCTCCTCCAAGTTTGTCTCGGCTGCCTCCTCCTCCTCACCTCATTTGCACCATAGATTCACCCAAATTAAGTGGTTAAATTTCCTTTTTTTGATAGGTAACTAAGGGGAAAGCTTTCTTTATGTTTTAGATCTACTTTTTGCTCCCTCCAACAACATGCACACTTTTTATGGCCTAGATCTACGTATGTT